TGGTCTAATATAGGGCTTTTCCTTTCTTTTTGATCCACTTGCCATATTGCAATGTTACATGACCATGAAAATAATTCAAATTGTGTTTTTAAAATGGAATCACATATGTGAGAAATTGGACACCAGGAGCATTGTAGAGATGAATAAATGGTTTATTGTGCATGACTTCAAGCGGTGGGTGTAAATGATGCTTAGAAGAAACGCTGACATTTTACCTCCCTTGCACAGTTGGAACTCCTATGACTGCTTGCTTAGAAAGGTAAAGGTAAGTTAAATGTTATGCTTGGAACTACCTTGTCAAATTTTTAGATTTTATCCGCCATAAACCAAGAAATGTTAAAACTGAATCACTTTGTGACAATGTGAGGTAGGACGAGCAAAGAGAAAAATCACCAGATTGAAAAGGGAATTCCTTCAATCTGGTTCTTTCACTATTAGTTAGCTACTATGATCTTGCATCAAGCCCTCAGCATGATCTCTTAAATCATGAAGAAAAGGACAATTGAATAACACAGGCTCTGAGATTTCTTCCTAAGTTTTCCAACTGAGAAGATAGCTAACATTGCTCATGGGCACTTATGCCATCCCACTGGCTTTTATATTTCTCTTCCTTTCCTCAGTTTTTATTCTAAAATTAATTTATAACCAGAATTATAAAAATAAAATATATTAAAGTCAATACTCAATTTCACTAAAAATGAACAATTATTAGTATATCATTTTTGTCCAATCACATTTTTACACTTTTCTTTTTCAGTACAGGGCCTTGAACCCAAGACTTTCACCCTGAGCCACAGTCCCCACTCCCTCCTTTTTAAGTTTTGCAACAAGGTCTCACTAGGTCCTTAAATTGCCTAGGTGGGACTCAAACTTGTAATGCTCTTGCCTTGGCCTCCCAATCATTATACCTTTTGATCATGAAATCAATGTTCTCCAAGCCACACAAAATAATTGGTTTACATTTTATTCACTTAAACATTTACTCACTAAATATTCATTAGGCAATTAATTATTATGCTTCTGAAACTATTGTAAGTAATATATATATATATAAATATATAAATCAAAAACAAAACACACATGATTCTTAACATTTTAGTGTTTATAATCTATGGTGACAATGGAAAATACATATTAAAGGATAAAATTTGACAAAAGCTATAAAAAAGAGAGCTTTGAGATGCATTTATATGCTGAAGCTGTGGGTTTTCAGTCACTTCAGATTGATTCCAGTTGACTAATAGTAAATTTCCCCATAGAGCCAAGATGCATGGACACCACCTTGTAAGAGGGAGGTTTTTGTTGGTACTGTGTTGTCAGGAATGACTGGCACCAGGGCTGTGGTTTTAGGAAGCTCACAGAATGCAAAGGGAACAGAGCTGGAGCTGAATGAAAGCTGCCTTTGGATGTCTCACATCCACACTCTCCTCATTACACTTAGGATTGTCCCCGACTGCAGACCCCACTACCACCTCTGTCAAACCATCTACTTGGGGCATTTGAAGGCCTTCAGTTCTGCTTCTCTTCAAAAAACGCTGCAGATCTCTGGTCTCTGAAGTGCAGTAGCCTAGACAAGAGCCACTCAGCTCTCCCTGGGAATCTTGGTCATTTTAAAGGTAGACATGGCTGACCTCTGAGCTTCTGTAAAGAATAGAATGTGTGTCCAGAGCCAGTAGTACCAGTTTCAAGTGTCTCCTTCTCTGTGAGACCTGTTCTTGAGAGGAGCAGTTTACCTACCTTCCTGGTTAAGAAAAGTAAATAAGATAAAGTGAAAACAGCTTTCCAAGTTATACAGTGCTGTTGCTTGTTTTATTCACTCTTTTTCTCCCTTTCAAGTAATCTCAATAACCCATTTTTCTTTCCTTCCCTTCTCTTTTTGTACCTCCCTCCCTCCTTTCCATCTCTCCTTCTTTGTCTCTTTCCTGTATCCTTTTCTTTTTTTTCTCTTCGTTCTGAATCTCTTCTTTTTCTTTACCCTCTCTTTCTTTTTCTTTTCATTCTTTCTCCTTCCAAAACAGTTTTGAGTTCACACCATGAATCAGGCATTTTGTTAATAAAAACACTATAAAGATAAATAAAATTGATGAAAAATACGGATCTTGTCAACTGCCTAAACTTAAATCTCAGCCCTAGCATTTCCCTGTATGTACCCCAGAGTAAAATATTTAGCTCTAATGTGGCTTTTTTCTTAGATAAATTAAAAACAAAAGCGTTAGTCCATGCCAAATGTTTTTAACACAGTGCCTATCACATTGTCAGTGCTTAAAAATGTTAAGAGTATACACCAGTGGAATAAATTATGAGCACTTGTAATAAAGTCTATTTAGGAACATAATGGAAGTTTTCACAGAAAAAAAGGCTATCAGGATAGATTTTGTTACATAAAGATCAGCCGTAGTCTAGAAGTAGCAGTATTTGCTCTTGAATGAGTGGGAAGTCTTCATTTGTTCTTTCATACCAGGGCAGGCATACAAGATGAAGTTGTTAAGGAAGTATTGATAATGTTTTGGGAGTGGTGATAGTAGAGTAGTAATGCTGTTTGTATTTCTGCATTTATCTTCTTACATACACATTAAAAGAATGATGCAAAAACAAATCCCGTATTTGATTCAACATAACCCAGGTATGGGGATATCAATAGTACATGAATGCGAGGCAGGTACAGTGGTGCACGCCTGTAATACCAGCTACTTAGGACACTAAAACAAGAGGAGCACGAGTCCGAGGTCAGTTGGAAGAATTTAATGGACCGTTTCTCAAAATGGTAAGGGATATAGATCAGTGGTAAAGAGAGAAAGGGAGAGGGAAAAGGAGAGGGAGAAGGGGAGGAGGAGAGGGAGGGAAAGCAGGGAGGCAGGGAGCGAGTGGGATAGGGGAAGGCGAGGTCAGGGGCAGGGAGGGGGAGAGAATAGAGTCTATGTAGAATGAACAAGCCTGGACCGGAGTTAACCAGCTGGGTAACACGCACATAGGGGTCCTATGAACTAACTGTCTGTGTTTGTACATTTACGTGTGATTTTCCAAAGTTACAGCTTCTACAAAGCGACCGTGTGTGACGTTCTTCCTTTATAGTCAACTGTGGTGGCAGACATTGGGCAGCATTACTTGTCCTTCGTTGTGGCACTGGCATTAGGCCATTGTTAAATAAACAAGGAATGAGAAGAACCCCAAAGTGAATGAGGGATGCTGAAATTCTCCACAACTCTGTGTCTAGATGTTTTTCTCATTCATCACATTGGTTGTTCCCTTTAGGGACTGTGGAATGTTGCCTTTTTTCAGTATAAAATAAATAGGAGAAGCAGGTGGAAATCTTGTAACGTAATAGTAGGCAGTTTCCTCATTCTTGTAATCACATAGCACTTCCACTGAAGATTCTGGATGCTAAAGTTCTTTCAAGAGATGCATAATCTATGACTTTTTTGTAGAGGGATTCAAAATCGAAGACACAAAACTAAGTTAGTCATTATGTTGCCACTACATAATGAAATAGCTGATGTGCTATTACCTCAGCTTTCTTCCGCACAGCCTTAATGGTTTTACCTGCCTCCTGAATGTCTGTGTTGAATCTCTTTCTCCAGATGTCTTAATCTGCATTAAATTCCTTCTTGAATCTGGTGTTCATTTTTGCTCAGATTTCTAAGTTCTCAGGCCCTTTATTCCTACAGATAGATGCTTGCCAAGACACCAATGTCATAACACTAAAAGTATTATTGCTGTGCTACTGTCTTCCTTTTCCAGATCGTTAGAGACAAATGTGTGGGTGGGAGCTTCAAGGAGCAACTTATTAATTAAGCAACTACAAAAAATTATCTTTTAAAAGATGTAAGTACTTCTCTAGATAATGACATAAATATTCTTGTGTGTTTGTTTCTATGTATACTTCTTGCGTCCAAACTTTATCTAAAAGAAATATGATTTAGCAAGGGCCTGAGTTTGATCCC